TTTCCATTGGGATTCTTGTTATTTTTGTTGGGATTCTTGTTATTTCCATTGGGATTCTTGTTATTTCCATTGAGATTCTTGTTATTTTTGTTGGGATTCTTGTTATTTCCATTGGGATTCTTGTTATTTCCATTGGGATTCTTGTTATTTCCATTGGGATCCTTGTTATTTCCATTGGGATTCTTGTTATTTCCATTGGGATTCTTGTTATTTCCATTGGGATTCTTGTTATTTCCATTGGGATTCTTGTTATTTCCATTGGATTCTGTTATTTCCATTGGGATTCTTGTTATTTCCATTGGGATTCTTGTTATTTCCATTGGGATTCTTGTTATTTCCATTGGGATTCTTGTTATTTCCATTGGGATTCTTGTTATTTCCATTGGGATTCTTGTTATTTCCATTGGGATTCTTGTTATTTCCATTGGGATTCTTGTTATTTCCATTGGGATTCTTGTTTATTTCCATTGGGATTCTTGTTATTTCCATTGGGATTCTTGTTATTTCCATTGAGATTCTTGTTATTTTTGTTGGGATTCTTGTTATTTCCATTGGGATTCTTGTTATTTCCATTGAGATTCTTGTTATTTCCATTGGGATCCTTGTTATTTCCATTGGGATTCTTGTTATTTCCATTGGGATTCTTGTTATTTCCATTGGGATTCTTGTTATTTCCATTGGGATTCTTGTTATTTCCATTGGGATTCTTGTTATTTCCATTGGGATTCTTGTTATTTCCATTGGGATTCTTGTTATTTCCATTGGATTCTTGTTATTTCCATTGGGATTCTTGTTATTTCCATTGGGATTCTTGTTATTTCCATTGGGATTCTTGTTATTTCCATTGGGATTTTTGTTATTTCCATTGGGATTCTTGTTATTTCCATTGGGATCCTTGTTATTTCCATTGGAGTCCTTGTTATTTCCATTGGAGTCCTTGTTATTTCCATTGGAGTCCTTGTTATTTCCATTGGGATCCTTATTATTCCCATTGGAGTCCTTGTTATTTCCATTGGGATTCTTGTTATTTCCATTGGGATTCTTGTTATTTCCATTGGGATTCTTGTTATTTCCATTGGGATTCTTGTTATTTCCATTGGGATTTTTGTTATTTCCATTGGGATTCTTGTTATTTCCATTGGGATTCTTGTTATTTCCATTGGAGTCCTTGTTATTTCCATTGGAGTCCTTGTTATTTCCATTGGAGTCCTTGTTATTTCCATTGGGATCCTTATTATTCCCATTGGAGTCCTTGTTATTTCCATTGGGATTCTTGTTATTTCCATTGGGATTCTTGTTATTTCCATTGGGATTCTTGTTATTTCCATTGGGATTCTTGTTATTTCCATTGGGATTCTTGTTATTCCCATTGGAGTCCTTGTTATTCCCATTGGAGTCCTTGTTATTCCCATTGGAGTCCTTGTTATTCCCATTGGAGTCCTTGTTATTTCCATTGGAGTCCTTGTTATTTCCATTGGAGTCCTTGTTATTCCCATTGGAGTCCTTGTTATTCCCATTGGAGTCCTTGTTATTTCCATTGGAGTCCTTGTTATTTCCATTGGAGTCCTTGTTATTTCCATTGGAGTCCTTGTTATTCCCATTGGAGTCCTTGTTATTCCCATTGGAGTCCTTGTTATTCCCATTGGAGTCCTTGTTATTCCCATTGGAGTCCTTGTTATTTCCATTGGGATCCTTGTTATCAATACTGAGGTGCTTGAGGTACATAATGGGCCCAGGGACATAATGGGCCCAGGGACATAATGGGCCCAGGGACCGGGCCACAAAGTTTTGATACCTGAACAAGGTACAAAGGTAATGAACCATTCACACATCCACTCCTAATTACAGGTACATAATGACTACAAATTCCTCATACTTATCCTTGATTACAGGTACATAATGACAACACATTCCTGATACTTATCCTTAATTACAGGTACATAATGACAACAAATTCCTCATACTTACCTTGATTACAGGTTTACAAACATAATGACAACATCATATCAACTACCTTAATTATCCTTGATTACAGGTACATAATGACAACAAATTCCTCATACTTATCCTTGATTACAGGTACATAATGACAACAAATTCCTCATACTTATCCTTGATTACAGGTACATAATGACAACACATTCCTCATACTTATCCTTGATTTCAGGTACATAATGACAACAAATTCCTCATCCATATCCCTACTGTGAAATTGTGCCTATCAAACCACAGCTCTGACACGTACATCTGATCATTCTTCATTTGCATACCTAATGACTGAAGGTACCTAATGACTGAAGCTACAGAACGGTAGCCTGTGACTGAAGCTACAGAAAGGTATCTAATGACTGAAGCTACAGAAAGGTACCTAATGACTAAAGCTACAGAAAGGTACCTAATGACTGAAGCTACAGAAAGGCACCTAATGACTGAAGCTACAGAAAGATACCTAATGAATGACGCTACAGAAAGGTGCCTAATAAGTGAAGCTACAGAAAGGCACCTAATGATTGAAGCCACAGAAAGGCACCTATTGCATGAAGCTACAGAAAGGTACCTTATGAATGAAGCTACAGAAAGGTACCTAATGAGTGAAGCCACATAAAGGTACCTAATGAATGAAGCTCCAGAAAGGTACCTAGTGAATGAAGCTACAGAAAGGTACCTAGTGAATAAAGCTACAGAAAGGTACCCAATGGAGCTACAGAAAGGTACCCAATGGAGCTACAGAAAGGTACCCAATGGAGCTACAGAAAGGTACCCAATGGAGCTACAGAAAGGTACCAATGGAGCTACATGAAAGGTACCCAATGGAGCTACAGAAAGGTACCCAATGGAGCTACAGAAAGTACCCAATGGAGCTACAGAAAGGTACCCAATGGAGCTACAGAAAGGTACCCAATGGAGCTACAGAAAGGTACCCAATGGAGCTACAGAAAGGTACCCAATGGAGCTACAGAAAGGTACCCAATGGATCTACAGAAAGGTACCCAATGGAGCTACAGAAAGGTACCCAATGGAGCTACAAAAAAGGTACCCAATGGAGCTACAGAAAGGTACCCAATGGAGCTACAGAAAGGTACCCAATGGAGCTACAGAAAGGTACCCAATGGAGCTACAAAAAGGTACCCAATGGAGCTACAGAAAGGTACCCAATGGAGCTACAGAAAGGTACCCAATGGAGCTACAGAAAGGTACCCAATGGAGCTACAGAAAGGTACCCAATGGAGCTACAGAAAGGTACCCAATGGAGCTACAGAAAGGTACCCAATGGAGCTGCAGAAAGGTACCCAATGGAGCTACAGAAAGGTACCTAATGAAGCTACAGAAAAGGAGGTAACACTGGTGTACCTATTTACTGTAAGCTGAGACTCTCTTTAATATTAATGTAAATAAATCAGTTAGTTGCTAAATGAACCTACTTTCCTTAAGACACCTGCTGTCAGTAGGTACCTGGGTGTTAGTTACACCTGCTGTCAGTGTTCACCTAGCAGTAAGTAGGTACCTGGGTGTTAGTTACACCTGCTGTCAGTGTTCTACCTAGCAGTAAGTAGGTACCTGGGTGTTAGTTACACCTGCTGTCAGTGTTCACCTAGCAGTAAGTAGGTACCTGGGTGTTAGTTACACCTGCTGTCAGTGTTCACCTAGCAGTAAGTAGGTACCTGGGTGTTAGTTACACCTTCTGTCAGTGTTCACCTAGCAGTAAGTAGGTACCTGGGTGTTAGTTACACCTGCTGTCAGTGTTCACCTAGCAGTAAGTAGGTACCTGGTTGTTAGTCACCTTACACCTGCTGTCAGTGTTCACCTAGCAGTAAGTAGGTACCTGGGTGTTAGTTACAGCTGCTGTCAGTGTTCACCTAGCAGTAAGTAGGTACCTGGGTGTTAGTTACACCTGCTGTCAGTGTTCACCTAGCAGTAAGTAGGTACCTGGGTGTTAGTTACACCTGCTGTCAGTGTTCACCTAGCAGTAAGTAGGTACCTGGGTGTTAGTTACACCTGCTGTAAATGTTCACCTAGCAGTCAGTAGGTACCTGGGTGTTAGTTACACCTGCTGTCAGTGTTCACCTAGCAGTAAGTAGGTACCTGGGTATTAGTTACACCTGCTGTCAGTGTTCACCTAGCAGTAAGTAGGTACCTGGGTGTTAGTTACACCTGCTGTCAGTGTGCACCTAGCAGTAAGTAGGTACCTGGGTGTTAGTTACACCTGCTGTCAGTGTTCACCTAGCAGTCAGTAGGTACCTGGGTGTTAGTTACACCTGCTGTCAGTGTTCACCTAGCAGTAAGTATGTACCTGGTTGTTAGTCACCTTACACCTGCTGTCAATGTTCACCTAGCAGTAAGTAGGTACCTGGGTGTTAGTTGCACCTGCTGTCAGTGTTCACCTAGCATTTAAGTAGGTACCTGGGTGTTAGTTACACCTGCTGTCAGTGTTCACCTAGCAGTCAGTAGGTACCTGGGTGTTAGTTACACCTGCTGTCAGTGTTCACCTAGCAGTCAGTAGGTACCTGGGTGTTAGTGGACTGGTGTGGGTGGCATCCTGGGGGACAAAATTAACCTAAGTTGTGGGAAATGCTCTACATAACCAGGAACTTTCTATATAGTATGTCATTGTTGTGAGCTATGTTCTGTATAAGTTGTACCATCTACTGGTAGAAATAAACATGAATATTATTAATATTAATGTGTTGTGCGGATGTAGATGTTCCAGTGTTAAGTTAGTGTGGTGGAGCGGCCACCAGGTGGCAGCACTGAGACGGTTCTCTCCCACCACAACAGCTGAGGTGCGTTACTCGCGTATGTCAATCCTTTGTTATTTCTGCGTTTATCTCCCTCCTGTTTCACTCTGGGTGTTTCTCGCCCGTGTCATCTTCACCCTGGGTGTCACCTCCATCACTTGCAACACTGTTTTGGTGCCTGGGGAGACGGATGCTCGGGGAATTTTGTGATTAATTCTGGTGTGTTGGTGTTGCTGGAGGAGGTAAACAATGATGGTGACCTACCATGTGTAGGGCCATATGTGGCCACTGTGTGGCCAGGGCCACCATGGCCACCTCTACCTCATCTACTATGCCTTTATTCGTCCCAGTAACGAGCCAAAACTACAGTAAATACGTTAAAAGTGGTGTTCTTGCTCAGGATTTCTTACATTCTAAGTTTTTCGAGTCGGTAGATTTATTTTTCATGTATTATTTTGTTTTTCAATAAAATTTTTGATAAAGTTCCACCACACACACAGGAGACAGGTTAATTGAGCAGCAGCCGGGAATAATGGCAGGAATTATCCCCTGGGGTCCAGGTTTGCGTGCAGCCAGCAGTAACAGCCTGGTTGATCAGGCTCTGATCCACCAGGAGGCCTGGTCACAGACCGGGCCGCGGGGGCGTTGACCCCCGGAACTCTCTCCAGGTAATAAGTCCGCGTATTATGGAATCTATAACCCTTGCGGGTTTAGCGCTTTTTCATTGTGATATTACAGAATGGACATAAATATTACTCAGTTTTAGTCGATATTTATATCTACATGACCTGACTAGGTTGGGCTTAAGCCGGTGGGAGAGTTGGACCTGCCTGGCATGGGCCAGTAGGCCTCCTGCAGTGCTCCTTCTTATGCTGCTGACTTTGATAATATTAACTCGTTATATAGAAAGTTACTGTTTATGTAGAACATTTCTGGGCCATTTAGGTTAATTCCCCCCCCCCAGGATGCCACCCACGACAGTCCACTAACTCTCAGGTTCCTATTTACTACGTGAACAGGGACAGCGGGTGTAAGGAAACGTGCTCAACGTTTCACTTGTGTCGGGGATTAATCCCGGACCGTCGCTGTGAGTCGAAGACGCCACCAACCGAGCCACGATGCGTTAATTACCGAATTAAAACATTACAGCGGCGCCCCGAGTTTCGTACGTAATTCGTACCAGACGGCTGCTCAAGTGCCATTACCAAACGAATTTGTTCCCATAAGGAATAATGTAAATTAGATAAGTCGATTTGAGACCCCAAAAATATACTTACAAAAGTACTGACGATAATACACTTACATAATTGTTCAGGTCGGGACCCCCCAAGGGAGGTTCCTTGATGCTGGTGAGGGGCTCTTGATTTAGGGAATTGGATCTGTGCTCCAGTTCCCCAAATTAAGCCTGAATGCCTTCCACATCCCCCCCCAGGCGCTGTATAATCCTCCGGGTTTAGCGCTTCCCCTTTAATTATAATAATAATATTCCCATAAGGAATAATGTAAATTAGACGAGTCCATTTAAGACCCCAAAAGTACATTTACAAAAGCACTGACGATAATACACTTACGGAACTCGGGATACCGCTGTTAAATTTAACATTACGTTAACGTTGAAGCAATCCAAAGCGGCGCCAATATTTTTCAGATGTTGAGATATAGTGGTATTTAAACCATATTTGTGGCATTTACATCTAAGTGTTTTTGTGCAGGGCTCCGAGAGTAGTGAAACTCTCGAAACTCTTCAAAGGTAACGGTTCAGGCAAAAGGTGTTAGTTGTAGTAATGTCGTTTAAAAAATGGCCTTTAGCTTTTTTTCCCCATTGCTAGTAAGATAAACCAGGTAATTAATTAGGACTATTATCTGGAGAGTTCTGGGGTCAACGCCCCCACGGTCCAGTCTGTGACCAGGCCTCATGGTGGACCAGGGCCTGATCAACCAGGCTGTTACTGCTAGCCACATGCAGTCCAACATACGACTCGCAGCCCGGCTGGTCAGGTACTGACTTTAGGTGCTTGTCCAGTGCCTGCTTGAAGACAGTCAGGGGTCTATTGGTAATCCCCTGCATGTATGCTGAGGGGCAGTTGAACAGTCTTGGGCCCCTGACATCTCTGCATACATGAAGAATTTTCCTTTAATCTTAAAATGATGTAATTTTGGCCATTCTAGTAATGTAGTTCAGTTTTGTGTGACCCTGCCTCACATGGGCCAGTAGGCCTGTGTGACCCTGCCTCACATGGGCCAGTAGGCCTGTGTGACCCTGCCTCACATGGGCCAGTAGGCCTGTGTGACCCTGCCTCACATGGGCCAGTAGGCCTGTGTGACCCTGCCTCACATGGGCCAGTAGGCCTATGTAACCCTGCCTCACATGGGCCAGTAGGCCTATGTGACCCTGCCTCATGGGCCAGTAGGCCTATGTGACCCTGCCTCACATGGGCCAGTAGGCCTATGTGACCCTGCCTCACATGGGCCAGCAGGCCTGCTGCAGGCTCCTTCTTATGTTAAACATGTCTACCTTCAACCTCATGGGAGATCCTTGAATCAAACCTGATTACCTACTGTTTCTCAGGTAGTGTTTAGTGTTCTTCCCTCAGCCACGATTTCTAAAATACTACGTTGTATTTTTTTTTATAATATTTGTGGTTAAATTTGAATTAAAAAATTTCCAGCACAATGGGGCGTGTGATTCGTGCTCAGAGGAAAGGTGCCGGCTCGGTTTTCAAGTCTCACACCCACCACCGCAAGGGAAAACCTGCTCTGCGTCCTGTAGATTATTCTGAACGTCATGGTTACATTCGTGGTATAATTAAGGTATGTAATAACTATGTTACCTGTTGGTTACTTGTAAACTTGCATATGGTTGATAATCTTATCAGTAATACCCCTCAAGAAAGGTTCCTTGACATTGGTGAGGGGCTCTTGATCTAGGGAATTGGATCTGTGCTCCGGTTCCCTGAATTAAGCCTGAATACCTTCCACATTCCCCCCCACAGGTGCTGCATAATCCTATGGGTTTAGCACTCCTTGATTATAATAATAATTATCAGTAACAGTTATTCTGTATCAGTGTTATGCTAAGAATTTTGTGTATCATCATCCCAGGACTCAATCTCAGATCAAGACTTCTAAATTAACCCTTTGAGGGTCGACAGGCCCTCTCCGAAACTCGTTCTCAGGGTCGGCCAAATTTAAAAAAAAAAAAAATTGTTTTCTCTTATGAAAAGATAGAGAATCTTTTCCCGATCATAACGACACCAAAAGTTTGAAATTTGATAGAAAACTTACGGAATTATGCTCTCGCAAAGTTAGCGGTCTCGGCGATGTTTACGGATCGGCGATTTTGCCCACTTTGAGCCCCATTTTCGGCCAATTTCACTGTACTAGTCGACAAAAAACATGAATATTTCGCTAGAACTCCATTTTTTTCTATCGAATGGGTGCAAGAAACCACCCATTTATAATTCAACTATCCAGTACAGTGGTCAGAATTTAGCAATTTTGCCAATTTCACACAAATTTCAAAAGATGCCAATTTCGGATAGGGTCCAGAATAAACAAGAAAGACATTCCTGGCACTAAAATGACATTTCCTCTAGTCATTAGTCACGTCTCAAGGCCCCCCTCTTATATTCTTTTGCTTTCCACTTTGTATTTTTATTCTCACAAAAAATATAAGATTTACTGTTATGCAGACTACTGCATTAGTGTAAAAAATGGTATAAATATTATTGGTGCACTTGTGAAAGAATATTAGACTCACCAGTTGACGTGTATTGCACGCTTGGCACGATTTGTTTACTTTTGAAGTTTGGTAAAAATCGAACATTTCTGCTACTTTGAGCTCAATTTCAAGGCACCTTTCATTGTAAAACCAGTCAAAATCATCTCAATTTCAGTAATATGTCTTCCATTCTATAAATGAGACCAAGAAAACTAGAATACAACAATAAATACTATACGAAAATACACTGCAAAGTCGCTGATTTATTAAAAAAAAAATGGAAAAAGTTTTTTTTTTCTCATTATGCACCGTGTGCTGCAGGATTTTTTTTAGACTGTGCACACTGACCACATAGACCCATTCTTTCATATGAAGGCCTACCAGCTTTCTCCCACTAGATTTGAGGTCGCTAGAATTTATGAGTACTAGTACGTCAAAAACCCCTACGCGTAAGACGTACTAGTACGACGAAAACCCTCAAAGGGTTAAAGGGGAATTTTTTCAGGAATAAGAATTAAGTACAGTAAGGTACAGGTCAGCTGTCACTAATCCGGCATCATTGGGACCTGTAGTGTGCCATATTAGTGAGTTTGCCAGATTACAGAATGGTTAGGTTAGAATACACTTAATTAACCTATCAGAGGAGACTCTCTGCTATATCTTCCTCATTTTCATCACTGCTTTCTCCTCCACTGGCTTGCTGCTGTGGATTTACAACCATCTACACAATTTCAGAGTCAGTATTATGATGAAATTTGAAAATATGCTATCCAAAATTAGTGCCGGATTACTGATGGAACCGGATAACTGATTGCTGGATTAGTGATGGCTGACCTGTACTATTTAAATTTGGAAAATTTACTTCTCATATTACAGTTGAAGAAAAGGACAGCTTTCTTATCAGGGCAAAAAACTTAAGTCTGCTTTTTTCACACAAGATGGAGGTTCTTTCCTGGAGGCTTACTGACTTTCACTTGACCATGTGTGTGTAATTTCCTATTTCTAGCTATTGGAGCAGAACTAATGCTTGGGTGGTACCTTGTCATCATAGACTTGTTCATTTACAGCCTCTCCTCACTTAGTGATGTACTCGTTTACTGACGTCTCGGACTTAGGACGGGCTCTCTGACCAGTATGCATACTTAAATACAGTAGACCCCCAGTTCGCGATACTAATCCGTTCCTGAGAGCTCATCGTAAACCAAAAATATCGGAAGTGAATCAATTTTCCCCATAAGAAATAATGGAAATCAAATTAATCTGTGGAAGACACCCAAAAGTATGAAAAAAAAAACTTTTACCACATGAAATATTAAGTTTAATGAAATAGAATAGTTATTACAATAACAATAAGTAACAAATAGTAAAAAAATAATTGACACTTACCTTTAATGAAGATCTGGTGATGATTGATGGGATGGGAGGAGGGGAGAGTGTGGATGGTGTTAGCATTTAGAAGGGGAATCCCCCTCCATTAGGACTTGAGGTAGCAAGTCCTTTTCCGGGGTTACTTCCCTTCTTTTAATGCCACTAGGACCAGGTTGAGTCACTGGACCTCTGTCACACAACATATCTGTCCATAGAAGTCTGTTCCTCTCGTACCTTTATGACTTTCCTAAAGTGTTTCACAACATTGTCAGTGTAATAATCACCAGCACGGCTTGCAGTAGCTGTGTGAGGGTGATTTTCATCCATGAAGGTTTGCACTTCAAGCCACTTTGCACAGATTTCCTTAATCTTTGAAGTAGGCAACTTCTTCAATTTCTCTCTCCCCTCCTCCGAAGCAATTTCCTCAGGTGTGGCCTCTTGCTGTTAAAGTTGATATAGCAGCTCATCAGTGGTTAGTTCTTCATTGTCCTCCTCCACCAACTCTTCCACATCCTCCCCACTAACCTCCAACCCCAAGGACTTCTCCAATGCCACAATGGATTCCTCAACTGGCATAGGCTTCTCAGGGTTAGCCTCAAACCCTTCGAAATCCCTTTTGTCTACACATTCTGGCCACAGTCTTTTCCAGGCAGAGTTCAAGGTCCTCTTAGTCACTCCCTCCCAAGCCTTACCTATAAGTTTTACACAATTGAGGATAGTAAAGTGATCCTTCCAAAACTCCTTTAGAGTCAGTAGTGTGTCTGTGGTCATTTCAAAGCACCTTTCAAACATAGCTTTTGTGTACAGTTTCTTGAAGTTGGAAATGACCTGCTGGTCCCATGGGCTGCAGGGAGGAGTGGTATTAGGAGGCAAAAAACTTGACCTTAATGAAGCTATGTCCCCACAAAGTCGCTCTGACAAGTCTGTAGGATGCCAGGGGCATTGTCTAATACCAGAGAGCATTAAGGTCTAATTCCTTTTCAATTAGGTAATTTTTCACACTGGGGGCAAATGCATGGTGTAACCAGTCATAGAAAAAGTCCCTAGTGACCCATGCCTTACTGTTTGCCCTCCACAGCACACACAATTTAGCTTTGAGGACATTCTTTTGCCTGAACGCTCTGGGAGTTTCTGAGTGATACACCAATAAAGGCTTCACTTTGCAATCGCCACTAGCATTGGAACACGTCAACAGAGTAAGCCTGTCTTTCATAGGCTTATGTCCTGGGAGTGCCTTTTCCTCCAGAGTAATGTAGGTCCTGCTTGGTAATTTCTTCCAAAACAGGCCTGTTTCGTCACAATTAAACACTTGTTCAGGTTTCAATCCTTCAGCCTCTATGTACTCCTTGAATTCATGCACTTTAAAGGAGGGGGTTTGGGATATTGGCAGTTTGGGCAGTTTGGGGGATATGTTGTGTATCTTTATACGTATATGCTTCTAAACTGTTGTATTCTGAGCACCTCTGCAAAAACAGTGATTATGTGTGAGTGTGGTGAAAGTGTTGAATGATGATGAAAGCATTTTCTTTCTTTTTTGGGTCACCCTGCCTTGGTGGGAGACGGCCGACTTGTTGAAAAAAAAAAAAAAATTCAGCCGCTTTGTGGTCTGAACTGGCAGCCTCACCATGCCTAATCACACTATGTATACCACTACTATTCTTAAATCTTTCAAACCAACCTTTGCTGGCCTTAAATTCACTCACATCACCACTAGTTGCAGGCAATTTTTTTACCAAATCATCATGCAACTGCCTAGCCTTTTCACAAATGATTGCTTGAGAGATGCTATCTCCTGCTATCTGTTCTTCATTTATCCACACCAATAACAGTCTCTCAACATTTTCTAACACTTGCGGCCGCTCTTTCGTAATCACAGTTGCACCTTTTGCAAGAACAGCTTCCTTGTTGCCGTTTTCTTCCCTCACTATAGTAGAGATGGTTGATTGGGGGTTTACTATACAACCTGACCAGCTCCAAAAACCACGCACTCCAAACTTTTCGTACTTTGCAATTATCTCTTTCTTCATTTCAGCAGTATTAGCACCTTGGTCTCGAATTGTTGGCACTGGAAGCTTTCTTGGGGCCCATGGTGACTTATTTTGCAAAAACAGGCACCAAAAACAGTGATAATATGGAATGTACCGAATGTATCTTTAGATGCGCACACACTGGCTGGCTTGTAAACACTGGCACACACGGGGCAGTTAGGCCACACATGGACACATCTCGTACGAACCACATCGCATACCGGGTTTTGTATCTGGAAGCGAGGGAAATTTTCTGGGATATAATGCATCGGTTACCGCATTTATCGGATACCGATAGCATCGCGAACCGGGGGTCCACCGTAATGTGTATTAGAATTGATTTCCTCGTGTTTATTACAATATACAGTACACTACTGTGTAAACATTTTAAAAATATACCAGAAATGTTATACATGTTGCAAAGGTAACATTAAGACAATATCAAAGATGGTTGACACAAACCCACTAACATTATAGTATGCTCCTCGTTTAGCGATGAATTCGTTTATCGACTCAGCATTAGGAACAGAACTCCGTTGTTAAGTGAGTAGAGGCTGTATTTAAAATTTAAGTTGTTTTGTCACTTCTTAACCTCTTGTAGTTTACTCCATTCCTGAACCACTGTGACCAAAAATTATCTAGTATTCCTTTGTGTGTGCATTTTTTTTTTTCTTGATTTAATTTTCTGGAACTGATGAAGGTACAGTATTAGTCTTTCCTTTTCTGGGTTAGGCCAGTAGGTGATTTGGACTTACCTAGCATGGGTCAGCAGGCCTGCTGCAGTCTCCTTATGTTCTTAAATTTTCAGTATTTTTTAAGCATTACTTTTCTAAATTTTTCTAATTCACATTCTATATTTCTGTCTTTTTTTTTATCTGATAAGTCACTGAATTGGCCCACTTTCTATATTGTTTCCACATTAATTTTTGTAACTTCAGTGCCTTCCATTAAACCATATTTTTTAATATTTCTTAGACAGCCTCTCGTCACTTAACGATGGAGTTCCGTTCCTGAGACCACGTTAAACAAATTCGTCACTAAGTGAGGAGCATACTATAATGGTAGTGGGTTTGTGTCAACCATCTCTGATATTGTTTTAATGTCACCTTTGCACCATTTATAACATTTCTGGTATATTTTTAAGTGTTTATACAATATTTATTTTTTTTTTATTATCACACTGGCCGATTCCCACCAAGGCAGGGTGGCCCGAAAAAGAAAAACTTTCACCATCATTCACTCCATCACTGTCTTGCCAGAAGGGTGCTTTACACTACAGTTTTTAAACTGCAACATTAACACCCCTCCTTCAGAGTGCAGGCACTGTACTTCCCATCTCCAGGACTCAAGTCCGGCCTGCCGGTTTCCCTGAACCCCTTCATAAATGTTACTTTGCTCACACTCCAACAGCACGTCAAGTATTAAAAACCATTTGTCTCCATTCACTCCTATCAAACACGCTCATGCATACCTGCTGGAAGTCCAAGCCCCTCGCCACACAAAACCTCCTTTACCCCCTCTCTCCAACCTTTCCTAGGCCGACCCTACCCGCCTTCCTTCCACTACAGACTGATACACTCTTGAAGTCATTCTGTTTCGCTCCATTCTCTCTACATGTCCGAACCACCTCAAACAACCCTTCCTCAGCCCTCTGGACAACAGTTTTGGTAATCCCGCACCTCCTCCTAACTTCCAAACTACGAATTCTCTGCATTATATTCACACCACACATTGCCCTGAGACATGACATCTCCACTGCCTCCAGCCTTCTCCTCGCTGCAACATTCATCACCCATGCTTCACACCCATATAAGAGCGTTGGTAAAAACTATACTCTCATACATTCCCCTCTTTGCCTCCAAGGACAAAGTTCTTTGTCTCCACAGACTCCTAAGTGCACCACTCACTCTTTTTCCCTCATCAATTCTATGATTCACCTCATCTTTCATAGACCCATCCGCTGACACGTCCACTCCAAATATCTGAATACATTCACCTCCTCCATACTCTCTCCTCCAATCTGATATTCAATCTTTCATCACCTAATCTTTTTGTTATCCTCATAACCTTACTCTTTCCTGTATTCACCTTTAATTTTCTTCTTTTGCACACCCTACCAAATTCATCCACCAATCTCTGCAACTTCTCTTCAGAATCTCCCAAGAGCACAGTGTCATCAGCAAAGAGGCAGCTGTGATAACTCCACTTTGTGTGTGATTCTTTATCTTTTAACTCCACGCCTCTTGTCAAGACCCTCGCATTTACTTCTCTTACAACCCCATCTATAAATATATTAAACAACCACGGTGACATCACACATCCTTGTCTAAGGCCTACTTTTACTGGGAAATAATTTCCCTCTTTCCTACATACTCTAACTTGAGCCTCACTATCCTCGTAAAAACTCTTCACTGCTTTCAGTAACCTACCTCCTACACCATACACTTGCAAAACATCTGCCACATTGCCCCCCTATCCACCCTGTCATACGCCTTTTCCAAATCCATAAATGCCACAAAGACCTCTTTAGCCTTATCTAAATACTGTTCACTTATATGTTTCACTGTAAACACCTGGTCCACACACCCTCTACCTTTCCTAAAGCCTCCTTGTTCATCTGCTATCCTATTCTCCGTCTTACTCTTAATTCTTCAATAATAACTCTACCATACACTTTACCAGGTATACTCAGCAGACTTATCCCCCTATAATTTTTGCACTCTCTTTTATCCCCTTTGCCTTTATACAAAGGAACTATGCATGCTCTCTGCCAATCCCTAGGTACCTTACCCTCTTCCATACATTTATTAAATAATTGCACCAACCACTCCAAAACTATATCCCCAACTGCTTTTAACATTTCTATCTTTATCCCATCAATCCCGGCTGCCTTACCCCCACTATATAGTACAATAGTGTACTATATATTGAAATAAAATAGAGGAAATCGATTCTAATATACATTACAGTGGACCCCCGGTTAACGATATTTTTTCACTCCAGAAGTATGTTCAGGTGCCAGTACTGACCGAATTTGTTCCCATAAGGAATATTGTGAAGTAGATTAGTCCATTTCAGACCCCCAAACATACACGTACAAACGCACTTACATAAATACACTTACATAATTGGTCGCATTCGGAGGTGATCGTTATGCGGGGGTCCACTGTATTTAGGTATGAATACTATTCAGAGCGCCCGTCGTAAGTCCGAGGCGTTGGTAAATGAGTACTTCGCTAAGTGAGAAGAGGCTTACTCCTCTTTTTTGTACATTTAGGTCAAATGTCTTCTTAGCACAATTTTTTATAGCATATTGAATGCACGTTTTGTTGATATGGAAAAGGTTATGGAAGAAAAATTGTTTTATCATTTTCAGAATATTATCCACGACCCTGGTCGTGGTGCTCCACTTGCTGAAGTTTACTTCCGTGACCCATATCGGTACAAAACCCGTAAGGAACTCTTTCTTGCCGCTGAAGGCCTATATACCGGCCAGTTTATCTACTGTGGTAAGAAAGGTAAGAAAATGAAATGAGATTTAATGGAAAAAAGCATTGTTAAATCAAAGGTTTTTATTATATTATTAACACATCGCCGTTTCCCACTAAAGCAGGGTGGCCCGAAAAAGAAAAACTTTCATCATCATTCACTCCATCACTATCTTGCCAGAGGCATGCTTACACTACAGTTATAAAACTGCAACATTAACACCACGCCTTCAGAGTGCCTGCCAGCACTGTCCTTCCCTTCTCCAGGAATTAAGTCCAGCCTGCTGGTTTCCCTGAATCCCTTCATAAATGTTACCGTGCTTACACTCCAACAGCACGTCAAGTCCTAAAAACTGTCTGTTCACTCCTAACACGCTCACGCACGCTTCCTGTAAGTCCAAGCCCTCTCGCACAAAACCTTTACCTCCTACCTTTCCTAGGCCGACCCCGACCCCGCCTTCCCTCCACTACAGATTTATATACTGTACTCTGGAAGTCAAAGGTTATATTGGCTGTAATCAGAATTGGTCTTTGAGAGTTGGACTCTAAACCCAAAATTGCATACTGATTAAATATTTTAACCCTTCACTGTCTCCCTAGTGGGTCTGTATTGCCAGCATTGCTCATGTAGATGTATGTTGTAAGCACAGTGTCCTCAGATATGCTCTGAGTAGTAAGTGTTGGCCTAGATGTGAAAGAATGGATCTAAGTGGCAAGTGTACACGGTAAAAAAAAAAAAAAAAAATCCTGCCCCCACACAGTGCATGATTGGGAAAAGCAAACCTCTGACGTAATGTTTGGGTTAAAATAGTGACTGAGGTCGTTTTTATAATAGGCTGACTTTTGTATCAGTTGGAATAAGACTTAATCAATTTCAGGATAAAAAGTAGCTTGGAATAAGGCTCAGTGTAGTGGAATTTTTTTGTTTTTCCTGAGGAAGGGTAGGTTCCCTCTGCCCTCTCAGTTTTATGGGTTTTTACCAAGTCTGCTTCAGTTATTGGGACAGCCTAAACCATGACCAATGATGCTTGGTTATGTTTCATCCGAAAAATAGGTTAAAACCTCAATTTTTGTGTGTTGGATTTGATATGAAGGACAAGTGTTGTATAGAAGAGGGTCTAAAGATATAATTATTGAATGGAGTTTAGGTCCCTTTAGTGTCTGGAAAGCTTTTTTTTTTTATACTAAATTTTGTGTAAAATTGGTCAAATTCCTAACTTCTGTGCACTTTGTAGGACAGTCCTGGGTAGTTTCTTGCACTCAGTTGGATGAAAATAAAACTCAGTGAGCAAAATCATTGATCCATAAATTGCACCCGGACTACCAACTTTGTCCCTGCTAAACACCATAAGTTTTCCACAATATTTTGCATTATTGTTGTCATTACCTTTGGGAAAATTATATGATTTTTTTTTAAGATGCTGTCAGCACTTAATCTTGGGGGTCACGACGGTGAAATGATGATGAGTTTTGTGCCGTCCTCTCTAAGTACTGAATAGCTTCTTTTGAGTGTTTTGGTAGAGAGAGAGAGAGGCAGAGAAACCCAAGCTACCCATTATCACTGTACTCTTATAGTATGGTTGATAAGAAAGTGTTGGTACAAAGATTACTTGTGTAAATGCCTTGCTTGATCTTGTTGAATGCAGTAATTATCTGGATAGTGTAAGACAGCAATATTAAAGGGTTGTAAACGTATCTTTAGTCATTTAGTAGTTGAATTTAAGTTTTAATATTTTTTACATTTATACAATTTTTTTAAACAAGTATTAGGGATAGACTAAAAAAATTATTGATTATCTTATACAAATAGCTATTGTTTTTTAAACACTATAATTTATCAGTAAATGCCTGTTATATATTTTGAAGACAGCAAACTACCCAAAGCCCTTTGATGAGTTCTAAGTGTTATTCTACTTCTAGAGCCTGGCCTTAGACCTAAGAATTTTTTCAGTTTCACACTAGAAAGGCTAGGGAATGAGCCAGCTGTACACAGTATGAAATGTTGTACACAGTATCAGTGCTGTTGAAATTGTGAAAAATCCCTTCATATGAACTTACATTGCCGTGGAATTACCAAGTATAACGCTAAAAAAAAAATGAACGTGATTTCGACTATAAAAGTATTACGAATTGTATTACATTATTATTTTTATTTTCAGCCAATCTTGATGTTGGCAATGTGATGCCAATTGGTGCCTTGCCAGAAGGTACTGTGGTGTGCAACTTGGAAGAAAAGACTGGAGACCGTGGCCGTATTGCCCGTGGCTCTGGTAACTATGCTCAGGTTATTGCTCACAACCAAGAGACCAAGAAAACTCGCGTGAAGCTACCATCTGGTGCCAAGAAAGTCCTTCCCTCTGCCAACCGTGCTATGATTGGTAAGTTTCCTTTAAAGATTGATTTACAGTTTTCCTTACATATTTCATCTGGTTCTCCATGGGAAAGTGGAGAAGAATTCTTCCTCTGTAAGCCATGTGTGTCATAAGAGCCGATTAAAATGCTGGGAACTAGGGGATAGTAACCCATTCTCCTGTATATATTACTAAATGTAAAAAAAAAAAAAAAAAAAATTCTTGAGTGTTTCTTTTTTTTCGGGTCAGCCTCCCTCTGTGGGAGACAGCCGGTGTGTTAAGAAAATTTCAGCTGGTATCGCCAATCTCTTTGAAACTTAATGAATTTAAAAAACAGGTTTATTCACATAATGCATGTTAATAAATTCAGGAGTATGTAAACTTGTGTATAAATTTATATACAGTGAACCCCCGCCTTAAAATATTAATCTGTTCATGAGAGCTCATCATAAGACGAAATTATCGTATGGCGAATTAATTTTCCCCATAAGAAATGATGGAAATCAAATTAATTCGTGCAAGACTCCACAAAGTATGAAAAAAAAAAAATTACCACATGAAATATTAATTTTAATACACACAAACTCAAGAAGACATGCACAAATATAATACTCTACTAAGAATACAGTACATGACACTTACCCTTATTGAAGGTCTGGTGATTATTGATGGGATGGGAGGAGGGGAGTGTGGAAGTTATTGTTTAGAAGGGGAATCCCCTTCCATTAGGCCTTGAGGTATCGAGTCCTTTTCCGGGGTTACTTCCCTTCTTCTTTTGTACTTAGCAATTACATATCTCTTTCTTCTTTCCATGGTAATTTTCACCCTTTTTCCGCAGGGTTGGCACTAGAAGGTTTTTTGGGGTCCATGGTGACTTATTTTGCAGGTACAATCACTAAAAACAGTGATAATATGAAATGTACCGAATGTATGCGTGGATGCAACCACACTGGTTGGCTTGTAAGCACTGGCACTCACGGGGCAGCTGAGGCCACGCGTGGGACGCGTCCCGGACGAATCGCGTGAGGCGAGGCAAAATTTTTGCGTTAAAATGTATCGTATGGCAGATTTAACGTAACGCAATGCCGTCGTAAGGTGGGGGTCCACTGTACTGTATAGTATTTTTAATTAAGCATGTAATTTGCAGTGCTTTGCACAAGTCTTAAACCAGTAAATCCTTTTAAAAGTAGAAGTATTTTTTTTTATTTTGGCTTTTTTTTTTTTTTTTCTCTCAACAAGTCGGCCGTCTCCCACCGAGGCAGGGTGACCCAAAAAAAATAAAAAGAAAATCCCCAAAAAGAAAATACTTTCATCATTCAACACTTTCACCTCACTCACACATAATCACTTGTTTTTGCAGAGGTGCCCAGAACACAACAGTTTAGATACACAACATATCCCTCCAAACTGCTAATATCCCAAAACCCCTCCTTTAGAGTGCAGGCATTGTACTTCCCATTTCCAGGACTCAAGTCCGGCTATATAAAAATAACCGGTTTCCTGAATCCCTTCACTAAATATTACCCTGCTCACACTCCAACAGATCGTCAGGTCCCAAATACCATTCGTCTCCATTCACTCCTATCGAACACGCTCATGCACGCCTGCTGGAAGTCCAAGCCCCTCGCCCATGAAACCTCCCTTACCCCTTCCTTCCAACCTTTTCGAGGACGACTCCTACCCCGTCTTCCTTTTCCTACCGATTTAAATGCTCTCCATGTCATTGTACTTTGATCCATTCTCTCTAAATGACCAAACCTTTCCCTTTATATAAAGGGACTATACATGCTCTGCCAATCCCTAGGTACCTTCCCCTCTATTTTCATACATTTATTAAACAAAAGTACCAACCACTCCAACACTATATCCCCCTCTGCTTTTAACATTTCTGTCATGATCCCATCAGTTCCAGCTGGTTTGTCCCCTTTCATTCTACGTAATGCCTCGCGTACCTCCCCCACACTTACATTCTGCTCTTATTTTGCCTTATGTTTTAAATAGTGGATTTTTGTATAGGATAACTCAATTCAGTCAAACTGCTGGTGAAGGGCTTTAAATATGAGGAATTGGAGCAACTATTCCTTTCCCTGGATCAAACCTGGTTACTTCAAATTTTCCATGTGCTGTAGGATTCCACGGGGTTTAGTACTTGCCCATGAATATGTAATTCATTATTTAATGGGTCCTCATACTTTGTTGCAGGTATTGTAGCAGGTGGTGGCCGTATCGACAAGCCCATCTTGAAGGCCGGTCGTGCCTATCACAAGTATAGGGTGAAGAGAAACAGCTGGCCCAAGGTACGTGGTGTAGCCATGAACCCCGTTGAGCATCCTCATGGTGGTGGTAACCATCAACATATTGGTAAAGCTTCCACAGTATCCAGAGGCAAGAGTGCTGGTCGCAAAGTTGGTCTCATTGCTGCCAGAAGGACTGGTCTCATCCGTGGTACCAAGAAGGACCCAAGGCATGCAATCTAATAAATGTATACGGGAAAAAATCCACTGATTGTATACTTTATCCTTTATTGTAAAATAAAATGATTTCCTGGAGTGAATGGCTTGAGTAATTGTGGCATCCCTCAAGAAAATGTTATTAGATGTGCATTTTAATATAATGTTTATTGTTGGATATCCAGCGAATATGAACAGCTGTAAAATTGATGGATATGTTAGTGGTGTGTTGCAACGGAGGTGCCCTCCCCCCTCATGGGAGGTTCCTTGATGCTGGTGAGGGGCTCTTGATTTAGGGAATTGGATCTGTGCTCCAGTTCCCCGAATTAAGCCTGAATGCCTTCCACATCCCCCCGGTGCTGTATAATCCTACGGGTTTAGCGCTTCCCCTTGATTATAATAATAATAATAATGTGCTCCGGTTCCCTGAATTGAGCACGAATACCTTCCATCCCCCTCACAGGCACTGTATAAGTCTACGGGTTTAGTGCTTCCCTGTGATTATAATGATAGAGGAAATGGAAGATCAGTAATGATGTCGCAGACGGATTCACCTTTGACAGACTCGATATAAACCCTGAAGATTTATATTTGTTTAAACCCTTTATGACACACCCTCTTTGACTCGGGTTTAGCGCTTCTGTCATAATCCCTGACTCAGCAACAGGTTTATTACACCAACTTCCCCTCAAGGGAGGTTCCTTGATGCTGGCGAGGGTCTCTCTCACTCTCAGATGCTGCATAAACCCGGTGTGTTTAGCGCTCCCCAATAAATATAGGACCCCTGATGATTTAGTTCGGCTATCAAAAGTTTGGGCCCAATCCCTGGATCCATTTGTACCTCTGATGTTGAAGTACAGTCCCTGGACCCATTTGTACCTCTGATGTTGAAGTACAGTCCCTGGACCCATGTGTACCTCTGATGTTGAGGTACAATCCCTGGACCCATTTGTACCTCTGATGTTGAGGTACAGTCCCTGGACCCATGTGTACCTCTGATGTTGAGGTACAATCCCTGGACCCATTTGTACCTCTGATGTTGAGGTACAGTCCCTGGACCCATGTGTACCTCTGATGTTGAGGTACAATCCCTGGACCCATTTGTACCTCTGATGTTGAGGTACAGTCCCTGGACCCATTTGTACCTCTGATGTTCAGTCCCTGGACCCATTTGTACCTCTGATGTTGAGGTACAGTCCTTGGACCCATTTGTACCTCTGATGTTGAGGTACAGTCCCTGGACCCATTTGTACCTCTGATGTTGAGGTACAGTCCTTGGACCCATTATATACCTCTAATCTTTTGACTACCACCCACACCATGGGTATGAGCTGCATAATTAAGACATTAAACTAAAAAAAACTACCGATTTCTCTTTTTATTTTATTAATATAATAGCAGCAGAAGGAGCTGTGGTATCAAGATATATGTGGCAGACCTGACGTAACATCCGTCCAGGAAAGCTTGATAAGGTCAAAAAAAATTTTTCGTTTGATAATAGCATGTTAGTGGAGCACTGTGGTGGTAGAGGCGGTGCTGGTAGGTATTTGCTGGTACTATTGTTGTGATGGTATATATATGCTGTGTGGTGGTTACTTAGTGGAATTTTGACGTAACGTGACAAATAACGCGAGTGGTACTTTGGAAAAACTGAGGTTGGATAAAAAATGAGATAAAATAACTGTGAAAGGATAGGAGCAGAGGTAGGATATCAGTCCATCTCTCTCTCTCCCAGTGTCAGTAAATATATTTAATGATTTCGAGGATGTCGTTTAGTTTTCGCTGTGTATTTTGGAACTAAAAAAGACTGATAATACTTATTGCTGTAACGTTTTGTCTATTAACTCGTTCATACAAGGCAAATTACAGATTTTTCTCAATTTTGTCAGGCAATTTTGTGTGTACACTGCCTATTATGTCCTGTACACTGCCCGGTCTGTGACCAGGCCTCATGGTGGATCAGGAGCTGATAACCAGACTGTTACTGTTAGAAGTATGCACCATCACCCAGGCTTTCATGTCGGTCTGTTGGTTTTAGACTAGGCCCTCCAGAAATTAACAGGAATAGATTATTATATATCTTTCTCGCCTACGTTCCAGGGAGTACAGTTCAGGAGACATGCAATCCTTGTAGTTTAGAGGCTTGACGGAATTTATACGAGCCGACCACCCTGATCACCCCAAGCCACTACCACCCTGATCACCCCAAGCCACTACCACCCTGATCACCCCAAGCCATTACCACCCTGATCACCCCAAGCCACTACCACCCTGATCACCCCAAGCCACTACCACCCTGATCACCCCAAGCCACTACCACCCTGATCACCCCAAGCCACTACCACCCTGATCACCCCAAGCCACTACCACCCTGATCACCCCAAGCCACTACCACCCTGATCACCCCAAGCCACTACCACCCTGATCACCCCAAGCCACTACCACCCTGATCACCCCAAGCCACTACCACCCTGATCACCCCAAGCCACTACCACCCTGATCACCCAAGCCACTACCACCCTGATCACCCCAAGCCACTACCACCCTGATCACCCCAAGCCACTACCACCCTGATCACCCCAAGCCACTACCACCCTGATCACCCCAAGCCACTACCACCCTGATCACCCCAAGCCACTACCACCCTGATCACCCCAAGCCACTACCACCCTGATCACCCCAAGCCACTACCACCCTGATCACCCCAAGCCACTACCACCCTGATCACCCAAGCCACTAACACCCTGATCACCCCAAGCCACTAACACCCTGATCACCCCAAGCCACTAACACCCTAATCACCCCAAGCCACTACCACCCTGATCACCCCAAGCCACTACCACCCTGATCACCCCAAGCCACTAACACCCTGATCACCCCAAGCCACTAACACCCTGATCACCCCAAGCCACTACCACCCTGATCACCCAAGCCACTGCCACCCTGATCACCCCAAGCCACTAACACCCTGATCACCCCAAGCCACTACCACCCTGATCACCCCAAGCCACTAACACCCTGATCACCCCAAGCCACTACCACCCTGATCACCCCAAGCCACTACCACCCTGATCACCCCAAGCCACTAACACTGATCACCCCAAGCCACTAACACCCTGATCACCCCAAGCCACTACCACCCTGATCACCCAAGCCACTACCACCCTGATCACCCCAAGCCACTACTACCCTGATCACCCCAAGCCACGACCACCCTGATCACCCCAAGCCACTACCACCCTGATCACCCCAAGCCATTACCACCCTGATCACCCCAAGCCACTACCACCCTGATCGCCCCAAGCCACTAACACCCTGATCACCCCAAGCCACTACCACCCTGATCACCCCAAGCCACTAACACCCTGTTCACCCCAAGCCACTAACACCCTGATCACCCCAAGCCACTAACACCCTGATCACCCCAAGCCACTAACACCCTGATCACCCCAAGCCACTACCACCCTGATCACCCCAAGCCACTAACACCTTGATCACCCCAAGCCACTACCACCCTGATCACCCCAAGCCACTACCACCCTGATCACCCCAAGCCACTAACACCTTGATCACCCCAAGCCACTACCACCCTGATCACCCCAAGCCACTACCACCCTGATCACCCAAGCCACTAACACCCTGATCACCCCAAGCCACTAACACCCTGATCACCCCAAGCCACTACCACCCTGATCACCAAGCCACTACCACCCTGATCACCCCAAGCCACTACTACCCTGATCACCCCAAGCCACGACCACCCTGATCACCCCAAGCCACTACTACCCTGATCACCCCAAGCCACTACCACCCTGATCACCCAAGCCACTAACACCCTGATCACCCCAAGCCACTAACACCCTTATCACCCCAAGCCACTAACACCCTGATCACCCAAGCCACTACCACCCTGATCACCCCAAGCCACTAACACCTTGATCACCCCAAGCCACTAACACCCTGATCACCCCAAGCCACTAACACCCTGATCACCCCAAGCCACTACCACCCTGATCACCCCAAGCCACTACCACCCTGATCACCCCAAGCCACTACTACCCTGATCACCCCAAGCCACTACCACCCTGATCACCCCAAGCCACTAACACCCTGATCACCCCAAGCCACTAACACCCTTATCACCCCAAGCCACTAACACCCTGATCACCCCAAGCCACTACCACCCTGATCACCCCAAGCCACTAACACCTTGATCACCCCAAGCCACTAACACCCTGATCACCCCAAGCCACTAACACCCTGATCACCCCAAGCCACTACCACCCTGATCACCCCAAGCCACTACCACCCTGATCACCCCAAGCCACTACTACCCTGATCACCCCAAGCCACTACCACCCTCACCACCCTAGCCCACAACCACCCTGACCACCCCTAGCCACCACCACCCTGACCATCCCTAGCCACCACCACCCTGACCATCCCTAGCCACCACCACCCTGACCACCCTAGCCACAACCACCCTGACCACCCCTAGCCACCACCACCCTGACCATCCCTAGCCACCACCACCCTGACCACCCTAGCCACCACCACGCTGACACCCCTAGCCACGACCACCCTGACCACCCCAAGCCACTACCACCCTGACCACCCTAGCCACAACCACCTGACCACCCCAACCCCACTACCACCCTGACCACCCCTAGCCACGACCACCCTGACCTCCCCTAGCCACCACCACCCTGACCACCCCTAGCCGCCACCACCCTGACCACCCCTAGCCACCACCACCCTGACCACCCCAAGCCACTACCACCCTGACCACCCCTAGCCGCCACCACCCTGACCACCCCTAGCCGCCACCACCCTGACCACCCCTAGCCGCCACCACCCTGACCATCCCTAGCCACCACCACCCTGACCACCCCAAGCCACGACCACTGACTTTGCTTGTGTGGCACGGTGGCCCGGTGGCCCGGTGGCCTGGTGGCCCTGTGGCCCGGTGGCCTGGTGGCTAAAGCTCCCGCTTCACACACGGAGGGCCCGGGTTCGATTCCCGGCGGGTGGAAACATTTCGACACGTTTCCTTACACCTGTTGTCCTGTTCACCTAGCAGCAAATAGGTACCTGGGTGTTAGTGGACTGGTGTGGGTCGCATCCTGGGGGACAAGATTAAGGACCACAAATGGAAATAAGTTAGACAGTCCTCGATGACGCACTGACTTTCTTGGGTTATCCTGGGTGGCTAACCCTCCGGGGTTAAAAATCCGAACGAAATCTTATCTTATCTTATCTTACCCCTCTAGCACTGCTCACTACACTTACAATACCACTGACAGTCTCCTCCCTCGCTGGTCCTACCCTGCAGGGTCGTATGATTGGCCTACGGGTTTAGTAGGTGTAACTGGAGGGTGTTGCAGGGGTCAACACCCCCGCGGCCCGGTCTGTGACCATGCCTCCTGATGGATCAGGGACTGAACAACTAGGCTGTTACTGTTGGTCACACATAAACCAGCGTAGGAACCACAGCCCGGCTGGTCAGGTTTTGGTTTTATGTGTCTGTCCAGCTCCCTCTTGAAGACAGCCAGGGGTCTTGAAGACAACCAGGGGTCTTGAAGACAACCAGGGGTCTTGAAGACAACCAGGGGTCTTGAAGACAACCAGGGGTCTTGAGAACATCCAGGGGTCTTGAAGACAACCAGGGGTCTTGATGACAACCAGGGGTCTTGAAGACAACCAGGGGTCTTGAAGACAACCAGGGGTCTTGATGACAACCAGGGGTCTTGATGACAACCAGGGGTCTTGAAGACAACCAGGGGTCTTGATGACATCCAGGGGTCTTGAAGACATCCAGGGGTCTTGAGAACATCCAGGGGTCTTGAAGACAACCAGGGGTCTTGATGACAACCAGGGGTCTTGAAGACAACCAGGGGTCTTCATGACAACCAGGGGTCTTGATGACAACCAGGGGTCTTGAAGACAACCAGGGGTCTTGATGACATCCAGGGGTCTTGAAGACAACCAGGGGTCTTGATGACAACCAGGGGTCTTGATGACAACCAGGGGTCTTGAAGACAACCAGGGGTCTTGAAGACAGCCAGGGGTCTTGATGACAACCAGGGGTCTTGATGACAATCAGGGGTCTTGAAGACAACCAGGGGTCTTGATGACATCCAGGGGTCTTGAAGACAACCAGGAGTCTTGATGACATCCAGGGGTCTTGAAGACAACCAAGAGTCTTGATGACATCCAGGGGTCTTGAAGACATCCAGGGGTCTTGATGACAACCAGGGATCTTGAAGCCAACCAGGAGTCTTGATGACATCCAGGGGTCTTGATGACATCCAGGGGTCTTGAAGACAACCAGGGGTCTTGATGACATCCAGGGGTCTTGATGACATCCAGGGGTCTTGAAGACAACCAGGGGTCTTGATGACATCCAGGGGTCTTGATGACATCCAGGAGTCTTGATGACATCCAGGAATCTTGAAGACAACCAGGGGTCTTGAAGACAACCAGGAGTCTTGAAGACAACCAGGAGTCTTGATGACATCCAGGAGTCTTGAAGACAACCAGGAGTCTTGAAGACAACCAGGAGTCTTGAAGACAGCCAGGAGTCTTGAAGACAACCAGGGGTCTTGATGACAACCAGGAGTCTTGATGACATCCAGGAGTCTTGAAGACAACCAGGAGTCTTGAAGACAACCAGGAGTCTTGAAGACAGCCAGGAGTCTTGAAGACAACCAGGAGTCTTGAAGACAACCAGGAGTCTTGAAGACAACCAGGAGTCTTGAAGACAACCAGGAGTCTTGAAGACAACCAGGAGTCTTGAAGACAACCAGGAATCTTGAAGACAACCAGGAGTCTTGAAGACAACCAGGAGTCTTGAAGACAACCAGGAGTCTTGAAGACAACCAGGAGTCTTGATGACATCCAGGAGTCTTGAAGACAACCAGGAGTCTTGAAGACAACCAGGAGTCTTGATGACATCCAGGAGTCTTGAAGACAACCAGGGGTCTTGAAGACAACCAGGGGTCTTGAAGACAGCCAGGAGTCTTGAAGACAACCAGGGGTCTTGATGACAACCAGGAGTCTTGATGACATCCAGGAGTCTTGAAGACAACCAGGGGTCTTGAAGACAACCAGGAGTCTTGAAGACAGCCAGGAGTCTTGAAGACAACCAGGGTCTTGAAGCAACCAGGGGTCTTGAAGACAACCAGGGATCTTGAAGCCCAACCAGGGGTCTTGAAGACAACCAGGGATTTTGAAGACAACCAGGGGTCTTGAAGACAACCAGGGGTCTCGAAGACAACCAGGGGTCTTGAAGACAACCAGGGGTCTTGAAGACAACCAGGGATCTTGAAGACAACCAGGGGTCTTGAAGACAACCAGGGATCTTGAAGACAACCAGGGGTCTTGACGACAACCAGGGTTCTTGAAGACAACCAGGGGTCTTGATGCCTCCACTATCATCATACGTCTACTAGTACTACTGCTGATAATAATAATAATAATAATAATAATAATAATAATAATAATAATAATAATAATAATAATAATAATAATAATCTGTCAACTTATTCTGAGACATCTGGTACAGCATAAATTACAACGTAATATGACGGAAGTGCGGAAAGATAACAGTGAAGGATGTTTGTGTGGTAACACTGTACGAGTGTTGTTTGTGTGGTAACACTGTACGAGTGTTGTTTGTGTGGTAACACTGTACGAGTGTTGTTTGTGTGGTAACACTGTGCTAGTGTTGTTTGTGTGGTAACACTGTACTAGTGTTGTTTGTGTGGTAACACTGTACGAGTGTTGTTTGTGTGGTAACACTGTGCTAGTGTTGTTTGTGTGGTAACACTGTACTAGTGTTGTTTGTGTGGTAAACACTGTACGAGTGTTGTTTGTGTGGAAAACACTGTGCTAGTGTTGTTTGTGTGGTAACACTGTACTAGTGTTATTTGTGTGGTAACACTGTACTAGTGTTGTTTGTGTGGTAACACTGTACGAGTGTTGTTTGTGTGGTAACACTGTACTAGTGTTGTTTGTGTGGTAACACTGTACGAGTGTTGTTTGTGTGGTAACACTGTGCTAGTGTTGTTTGTGTGGTAACACTGTACGAGTGTTGTTTGTGTGGTAACACTGTACTAGTGTTGTTTGTGTGGTAATACTGTACTAGTGTTGTTTGTGTGGTAACACTGTACGAGTGTTGTTTGTGTGGTAACACTGTACGAGTGTTGTTTGTGTGGTAACACTGTGCTAGTGTTTTTTTGGTGGTAATACTGTACTAGTGTTGTTTGTGTGGTAACACTGTGCTAGTGTTGTTTGTGTGGTAACACTGTACGAGTGTTGTTTGTGGTAACACTGTGCTAGTGTTGTTTGTGTGGTAACACTGTACTAGTGTTGTTTGTGTGGTAATACTGTACTAGTGTTGTTTGTGTGGTAACTCTGTGCTAGTGTTGTTTGTGTGGTAATACTGTACTAGTGTTGTTTGTGTGGTAACACTGTGCTAGTGTTGTTTGTGTGGTAACACTGTGCTAGTGTTGTTTGTGTGGTAACACTGTGCTAGTGTTGTTTGTGTGGTAACACTGTGCTAGTGTTGTTTGTGTGGTAACACTGTGCTAGTGTTGTTTGTGTGGTAACACTGTGCTAGTGTTGTTTGTGTGGTAACACTGTACTAGTGTGTTTGTGTGGTAACACTGTACGAGTGTTGTTTGTGTTGTAACACTGTACTAGTGTTGTTTGTGTGGTAACACTGTACGAGTGTTGTTTGTGTGGTAACACTGTGCTAGTGATGTTTGTGTGGTAACACTGTACTAGTGTTGTTTGTGTGGTAACACTGTGCTAGTGTTGTTTGTGTGGTAACACTGTGCTAGTGTTGTTTGTGTGGTAACACTGTACGAGTGTTGTTTGTTGGTAACACTGTGCTAGTGTTGTTTGTGTGGTAATACTGTACTAGTGTTTTTTTGTGTGGTAATACTGTACTAGTGTTGTTTGTGTGGTAATAATGTGCTAGTGTTGTTTGTGTGGTAATACTGTACTAGTGTTGTTTGTGTGGTAACTCTGTGCTAGTGTTGTTTGTGTGGTAACACTGTACTAGTGATGTTTGTGTGGTAACACTGTTCTAGTGTTGTTTGTGTGGTAACACTGTACTAGTGTTGTTTGTGTGGTAATACTGTACTAGTGTTGTTTGTGTGGTAACACTGTACGAGTGTTGTTTGTGTGGTAACACTGTACGAGTGTTGTTTGTGTGGTAACACTGTGCTAGTGTTGTTTGTGTGGTAATACTGTACTAGTGTTGTTTGTGTGGTAACACTGTGCTAGTGTTTTTTGGGTGTGGTAACACTGTACGAGTGTTGTTTGTGTGGTAACACTGTGCTAGTGTTGTTTGTGTGGTAACACTGTACTAGTGTTGTTTGTGTGGTAATACTGTACTAGTGTTGTTTGTGTGGTAACACTGTGCTAGTGTTGTTTGTGTGGTTTTAATACTGTACTAGTGTTGTTTGTGTGGTAACACTGTGCTAGTGTTGTTTGTGTGGTAACACTGTGCTAGTGTTGTTTGTGTGGTAACACTGTGCTAGTGTTGTTTGTGTGGTAACACTGTGCTAGTGTTGTTTGTGTGGTAACACTGTGCTAGTGTTGTTTGTGTGGTAACACTGTGCTAGTGTTGTTTGTGTGGTAACACTGTACTAGTGTTGTTTGTGTGGTAACACTGTACGAGTGTTGTTTGTGTGGTAACACTGTACTAGTGTTGTTTGTGTGGTAACACTGTACGAGTGTTGTTTGTGTGGTAACACTGTGCTAGTGATGTTTGTGTGGTAACACTGTACTAGTGTTGTTTGTGTGGTAACACTGTGCTAGTGTTGTTTGTGTGGTAACACTGTGCTAGTGTTGTTTGTGTGGTAACACTGTACGAGTGTTGTTTGTGTGGTAACACTGTGCTAGTGTTGTTTGTGTGGTAATACTGTACTAGTGTTGTTTGTGTGGTAATACTGTACTAGTGTTGTTTGTGTGGTAATAATGTGCTAGTGTTGTTTGTGTGGTAATACTGTACTAGTGTTGTTTGTGTGGTAACTCTGTGCTAGTGTTGTTTGTGTGGTAACACTGTACTAGTGATGTTTGTGTGGTAACACTGTTCTAGTGTTGTTTGTGTGGTAACACTGTACTAGTGTTGTTTGTGTGGTAACACTGTACTAGTGTTTTTTTGTGTGGTAACACCGTATTTAGTGTTGTTTGTGTGGTAACACTGTACTAGTGTTGTTTGTGTGGTAACACTGTACTAGTGTTGTTTGCGTGGTAACACTGTACTAGTGATGTCTGTGTGGTAACACTGTGCTAGTGTTGTTTGTGTGGTAACACTGTACTAGTGATGTTTGTGTGGTAACACTGTGCTAGTGTCGTTTGTGTGGTAACACTGTACTAGTGTTGTTTGTGTGGTAACATTGTTCTAGTGATGTCTGTGTGGTAACACTGTGCTAGTGTTGTTTGTGTGGTAACACTGTGCTAGTGTTGTTTGCGTGGTAACACTGTACTAGTGTTGTTTGTGTGGTAACACTGTACTAGTGTTGTTTGTGTGGTAACACTGTGCTAGTGTTGTTTGTGTGGTAACACTGTACGAGTGTTGTTTGTGTGGTAACACTGTACTAGTGTTGTTTGTGTGGTAACACTGTGCTATTGTTGTTTGCGTGGTAACACTGTACTAGTGTTGTTTGTGTGGTAACACTGTACTAGTGTTGTTTGTGTGGTAACACTGTACTAGTGATGTTTGTGTGGTAACACTGTGCTAGTGTTGTTTGTGTGGTAACACTGTACTAGTGTTGTTTGTGTGGTAAGACTGTGCTAGTGTTGTTTGTGTGGTAACACTGTACTAGTGATGTTTGTGTGGTAACACTGTGCTAGTGTTGTTTGTGTGGTAACACTGTACTAGTGTTGTTTGTGTGGTAACACTGTGCTAGTGTTGTTTGTGTGGTAACACTGTACTAGTGTTGTTTGTGTGGTAACACTGTACTAGTGTTGTTTGTGTGGTAACACTGTACTAGTGTTGTTTGTGTGGTAACACTGTACTAGTAATATTAGCGTGGCAACACTGTACTAGTGACGTTAACCGGAAGCTCTAAACCCTTAGGAGTCACTCATGTCCAGGAAACATAAATGAATCTAAGTTACACTATTTAATATTGCAATTGTGTGTTCCAGATTCAACAAATGGAGGCCGTGAACTACTTGCAAAGTCCCTCAGCATGGTCACCCTAGCAATGATTAATGTAGTATTGCAAGCGGCCGTGACATATGGCAACCCAAGTGGGGCACCACCCAGCAGCTTGAGTTCCGTATCACCCAGCAACTTGAGTTCCGTATCACCCAGTAACAATGCCTCCAAGGGGCATCTCAGTACAAGTTCCGTAATTGAATCTTCCACGCGTTCAGCGAGCAGTGTCACTGGTGCCAGTACACTGCCAGTCACCACAACACTGCCACCAAAGTGCACCGGGTACAAAATCGCCACTAATACTCTGATCGGGGTAGTGGTGTTACTGGTAGTGGTGGTGGTACTGGTAGGTGGGTACCTGAAATGGAACGGCCGAAACTGTCTTCGAGGGATTCCGAGACCCCCCAAAAAAATGACTAAAGATGGTGAGTCTGCAGAAAGTGTCCGTCTCACTTACGGCAGGAAATCCACTTCTTGGAAGATTAATCCCACTGTAGGAAAGATGTACCCTCTTGCAAATAAGATGGGCCCTGATACAGGGAAGTCCTACGCAGCCATAGGTCAGACCTACTTCCCTGCAGGAAAGAAGGACTTCCTACAGGGCCCACACCAGCCCAAGGAGAAGCTGGACAACATTAACTTCTCCTTCAACTCTAGTCTCTCCAGGTCACCTTATTATTATGACCACGATCCCAGTTTTTCCATACCATCACCGACCGTAAAACGTGACTTTGATTTGCTGACCTCGCCGGTGCCCCCACAATGTCAAGCATCAGCCCAGGTTCCTCTCAACAATAAACGCCACTCGGCTTCTTTAAGCCTGCGAGAGGACACAGAAGATGAGAACCCTTATGATGTACTGCCAATCCGTAGTCACCCGATACCTGTGTCACCCAGTCCTCAAGGCTTGCTTCAACCTCTCACTGATACCACTACAACACCAGCAGATAAGGTTAAGGAACTTCAGCAGTGTACAACACTGAGGAACTCTGGGTGGAGTGAGACCCATAACAGCAATGGCGAAACAAGACTGGACAGCTACACCCCAGAGGACCCTGAAGACATGCCAGTTCACAGAACATATTCCGTAACTGAAAGTGACATCGAGGAAAGATGTAACAATTCCTCGCCAGAGAACCATGTGGATATGCCCACTCACAGGAGGCATTCCGTGACCAAAACTCTTGCAGCAGCCTTGCAGGAGATGAGAGAGAAATCTCTGTTCACTCGAATGAGAGACCTCTTGAGTGCACAGCCTTCCAACTCCAGTACACACTCATCCCGTAAATGGTCTCTGAAACACAAATTATCCTCCTCAAGTAAGAATAGTGAGTATTCGCCGCCAAGAAAGACTTCTCTGTGTAAGGAATCCTTAGACTCCTGCAGTGCTGGTCAAGGAGAGGGAATAACAGTCTCTGTCAAGACTCTAGCAACAAGGAAATCTCAAGTACCACCAGGAACACGTAAGTCTGAAACATCACCAGGAACAAGGAAGTCCGAAATACCACCAGGAACACGTAAGTCTGAAACACCACCAGAAACAAGGAAGTCTGAAACACCACCAGGAACAAGGAAGTCCGAAATACCACCAGGAACACGTAAGTCTGAAACACCACCAGAAACAAGGAAGTCTGAAACACCACCAGGAACAAGAAAGTCCGAAACACCACCAGGAACAAGAAAGTCCAAGACACCACCAGGAACAAGAAAGTCCGAAACACCACCAGGAACAAGAAAGTCCGAAACACACCAGGAACAAGAAAGCCGAAACACCACAGGAACAAGAAAGTCCGAAACACCACCAGGAACAAGAAAGTCCGATACACCACCAGGAACAAAAAAGCCCGAAACACCACCAGAAACAAGAAAGTCTGCAACCCATCACATCAACATGTCTTATCTCTACAATGACTAGCAATAACTTGCGCCTGTCTCTGGAGACTGTCGTTCCCATCCTCTCCACAGAGTGAATATTATAACTTAAATAACTAATAAAAAGAAGTGAAATCACTGAGAGGTATAAGAGATTTGTATAGTTTGCCCTCAGTAAGAGACTGAGAATCATCCCATTTTATACCTGATAATGGTCTAGAAAAGATCGAAAGTGTGGGCCATTTGTGAACTGTTCCATCCACTGTATTGTGATTCTTATCCTTCACTAATTATGACACTGTAATCCAAGCAATTTACCAAATTGACTCATTAAACAGTTAGTGTATAAAGAGTTGTAGGGATGTATTGTAGGGGCTCAGGTAAGGTACATCAGCACTGGGATTCAGGGATGAGGTCAAGTCTTTGTGGTAGTAATTACTGTCAAGACTGTGAAGTACCCGGAGGTAATTGCGTAGTTGGCTGAGTGAGTCACAACATTGACTGCAGAGTGAGGGGGACCTGGGGCGAGGCCTATATAGAAAGGTATTTGTGTTTAGTCAGTTATTTATTACATGTTAATTTGAGTTTTATGTACCCATATGTTTTGAGATGTGGGGGTTGAAAAATTTGTAAGGTACTGCCCACGTATAATGAGGTACTACCCACGTATAATGAGGTACTACCCACGTATAATGAGGTACTACCCACGTATGAGGTACTACCTACGTATAATGAGGTACTACCAATCTATCAGGTACTACCCATGTATAATCAGGTACTACCCACGTATAATGAGGTACTACCAACGTATAAGGTACTACCCATGGAATCAGGTACTACCCACGTATAATGAGGTACTACCAACGTATAAGGTACTACCCATGGAATCAGGTACTACCCACGTATAATGAGGTACTACCCACGTATAATGAGGTACTACCAACGTATCAGGTACTACCCACGTACAATGAGGCACTACCCACGTATTGAACCCTACACCTCGGCCACAACAATGAATCTCAGGTCACAAGAAAGACGACTCAAGAGCTTCTAAACAAGTATCAACTCTGGTTATCTTTACTGTAGACGTTTCGCCATCCAGTGGCTTTATCAGTACAGATTCTAGGACATAGCTAGAAGACAGTAGAACTATATACAAAACAAAAGGTAATCAGTCCCTCAGCCTTGGAGTTGGTGTTGAGAGCACCGTAGTTGTAGATATTCTGTAGCACAGGCAAGAAGACTGGCGGTTATATAGGCGTCAGTGGACAGGGATGTGTAGCAGACGAGGGCATAGTCACTGGTAGGTAGGATTCCCCAGTGGAAGTAGGTCCTACCCAAAGGGATGGGTTAGTTGTAGTAGCCGTGAAAGTCTACTACAACTAACCCATTTCTTTGGGTATGACCTACTTCCACTGGGGAATCCTGCCTACCACTGACTATGCCCTCGTTTCCAGAATCTCTACAACTACGGTGCTCTCAACACGGACTCCAAGACTGAGGGACTGATCACCTCATCTTTTGTATATAGTTCTACTGTCTTCTAATCATGTCCTAGAATCTGTATTGATAAAGCCACTGGAGGGCGAAACGTCTACAATAAAGATACCCAGATGTTGCACATGTGTCTTAAACTTTCATATTGTCGGTATTGTATACCATTCTTGCACATCTTCTAAATAAGTACCAACATTATACCGAATAGTGAGTACAACTAAGATGTTAATGTATGGAATGAAGCAAACCATACCACGGCCGGGGATAGAACCCGCGGTCAGAGTCTCAAAACTCCCGACCGTCGCGTTAGCTACTGGACCAGCTAGCCACATTGAGGGGACTTGAGCTAGAGTTCGTCACGGCCACGCTAGCTGGAGATTCGTCTGTAAAAACTTGCATTTGTGGTCACAGTGGTGCCTATGCTAACCTTCCTATGGTGTAGAAATATACCTAGTTGGATGAATCTTATTGTGGCTAGCTGGTCCAGTGGCTAACACGACGGTCTGGAGTTTTGAGACTCTCTGACCGCGGGTTCTATCCCCGCCCGTCGTATGGTTTGTTTGCAATCGTGTCATTACGATTTCGTGAGTCATGGAATGAAATAGTTACAAGTACATATTACGAAGTTCGTTACGAATATGGTAACTCAGACTTCCTTACTAAGGTAGTTTCATGTATATTCAGTGAGCCTTAAGCCTCTGTTGACTTAAGAAAGGGATTTAACACTGTAAATGAGAGCAATGTGTGACAACAGGTTCCTTGGATGAGAAACATGTAGAAATTAACCAAAATTTTAACTCTGATATCAAACAAATCATAGTTTGGAGATATATATTAGATTCTGTATTAATACATGTTCTAACACCGTACCATTTAATGGCCCACCGAAGCCATTAAATACAGTAGTTGGATATTAATCATTATTATTCATTATCAGTGTCTAGAAAAGCCTGTGTGGATTATTTTCTCCAATTTCATCTTAAAATTTTGGGTAGCGTGTTTGGAGGTGAGAAATACTACCAATCTATTTCAATGTGATTTATCCCCCAGAAAAATGGAAAAAATCACCCATATATCGACGATAGAAGGATTTGAAGGCAATTGTATGATAGTTTAGCCATATTCCTTCATGGTAACAGAAGAATTTGCATAAGTTGGAGGTAATAGTGATCCCACAGCAACCACCTGAGAGCCCACATTAATGTTAAATGTAAAAAAAAAAAAATAATTGTAACTGTAATTTCCCAAATCCTAGCAAATATTTATCTATTTAAACGTAAGTTACTCAAATTACCCAATATTAACTTATCTAACAAGATGCTTACAATATCTAGTAATGGAATATTTTCAAACAGTAACTCTCTATTTAACGATATAAATTGATCTATCATATTTTACAGAACATACCTCCCTATGAAATCTAAATCGCTCGTGTAGTTATTTTTCTTGTAAATAAGACAACATTGGTTGTAGAGCCTCGCCAAAATTATTGTCCAAGGTTCCAGTAGATTTTGTAGTTAGTATAGATGTAAGACCATAATTTACAAATGTTCCACTCAGGATATATATATATATATATATATATATATATATATATATATATATATATATATATATAATATATATATATATATAGTGTGTATGTGGTGTGTATATGTTACTTGGCTGATGTATTTGGTAAGTAGAGAACACAATAGGTCCAGGAACGGGCCGAACTATTTTTTTGGGATTAATTTCCCAGTGGTAATTAACATTTCAGATAAAAAATTGAGAAAACGAAAGGAGGTTTTACCCCGTCATTAAGCATTAAACGTAGCTTTTTACTGTAACGCCCACGGTTTGTGTTAGGTTGGAAGGTTGAAGTTCAAGACCATGTCACGGGGCCCGGTCACAGACCACCCCCCGGGGGCGTGCCCCCCCAAAACCACCCGGGATAGAGCCCAACAGCCCCTGGAAAGGGGAAATCTTCCACTAGGGTTTTTAAAGGTCCGCTCCTGGTACATTTTCTCGACCCCTTAGTTTCACTTTGTTTGAAGCTAATTTAAAAATCAGGGAAAACACCTAAAATCGTGATGACAAACTATTTTATCATGCAGGAGAAAAAACAATCAAGAGTTAGAACTTTTCTTCCTGCTCGTACTGTTTCCTTCTCAAGGCGTTTTTTGAGCTCTACGGGTTTAGCGTTTCCCCAAAATAATAAAAATAATTATTGTTTATTACTTTTCTTAGCTGACTGAAAGTCATCCAAACAAAGGTTTGTTGTGGTTCAGGGTCCCGTGGCAGGTACTTTCCCCCCGGGTAATTTATAGGTTTGCCCCCAATACGTAACTTCAGTAAAATTAACAATAAAAATTTTAATAAAAAAAGTGTGCCTTTTCTTTAACCCTTATTATCCCATTATATATATTATATATATAATATTTATATTTTTATAATAATATAATATTATATATATATATATATAATATATATAAAATATATTTATATATATATATATATATATTTCAAAAAACCGGCGTACCCACCGAGGCGGGGGGGCCCAAAAGAAAAACGAAAGTTTCTCTTTTCAAATTCAGAAATATATACAGGAAAAAGGGTTTACCCCTTGCCCCCGGCATTTTAGTCGCCTCTTACGACACTCATGGTTCGGAGGAGAAAATTTTGTTCCACTTCCCCCCGGAGGTAAAAAGGAAATAAAGAAGAACAAGAACTATAAGAAACTAAAAGAAAACCAGATGGTGTGTAATATATGTTGGACATGTATGTGAGTGTGACCTAAGTGTAAGTGAAGTAACAGACATACCTGAACCTTGCTGTTTTTTGGACAGACAAAAGACACCAGCAAACCTACCATCTGTAAAACAATTACAGGTTCCCGTTTTACCTCACTTGGGAGGACGGTAGCCTCCCCCGGGGGGTTGCTTCAAACCAAACCCACTAACAGGATGGTAGTACCTCTCTGGGTGGGTTTCTGTTACCAACCCAACCAAGGTGGTAGACCTCCCTGGTGGTTTCTGTCTACCAAACCCACACCACAGGTGTAGTACCCCCCCTGGGGGTTGCTGTCTACCAACCTACTACCCCAGGATGGTAGTACCTCCCTGGGTGGTTGTTGTCTCCCAACCTACTACCACAGGATGGTAGTACCTCCCTGGGTGGTTGTTGTCTACCAACCTACTACCACAGGATGGTAGTACCTCCCTGGGTGGTTGTTGTCTACCAACCTACTACCACAGGACGGTAGTACCTCCCTGTGTGGTTGTCTACCAACCTACTACCACAGGACGGTAGTACCTCCCTGGGTGGTTGTTGTCTACCAACCTACTACCACAGGACGGTAGTACTTCCCTGGGTGGTTGCTGTCTACCAACCTACTACCTACATATATTGTTTCTAATTTTGGTATTCTTTTGATGTGTCCCAGAGTTTTTCTTCTCCCGGAGCCCGGCCATGTGCCAGGCTCGTCTGGTACTAGCCTGGTCAACCAGGCTGTTACTCCTGGTGGCCCGCTGACCCACATATCCACCACATATTAACAAACATTTTTGCATCTCATAGGTTACGTGTGAGACTCGAACCCGGGCCTATAACAACCCAATATGAGTTGCATGAAGCCCTTATCAACTTCTCCGTCAATTTCCTATAAGTCTGAGTTTCTGGTTTCGATTTACGCATGCAACAACCTCCCCATCCCCCCATCCAATGAAAAGCAGGGGAGCCTCAAGTATGCTAAGAGACAACACAGTAAGTGTCAGGGACCCAAGACTGTTCAACTGCCTCCCAGCATACATAAGGAGGATTACCAAGAGACCCCTGGCTGTCTTCAAGACCCCTGTTTGTCTTCAAGACCCCTGTTTGTCTTCAAGACCCCTGGTTGTCTTCAAGACCCCTGTTTGTCTTCAAGACCCCTGGTTGTCTTCAAGACCCCTGGTTGTCTTCAAGACCCCTGTTTGTCTTCAAGACCCCTGGTTGTCTTCAAGACCCCTGGTTGTCTTCAAGACCCCTGGGGTTTTCGTCAAGACCCCTGGTTGTCTTCAAGATCCCTGGTTGTCTTCAAGACCCTGGTTGTCTTCAAGACCCCTGGTTGTCTTCAAGACCCTGGTTGTCTTCAAGACCCCTGGTTGTCTTCAAGATCCCTGGTTGTCGTCAAGACCCCTGGTTGTCTTCAAGACCCCTGGTTGTCTTCAAGACCCCTGGTTGTCTTCAAGACCCCTGGTTGTCCTCATGACCCCTGGCTGTCTTCAAGACCCCTGGTTGTCGTCAAGACCCCTGGCTGTTTTCAAGACCCCTGGTTGTCTTCAAGACCCCTGGTTGTCGTCAAGACCCACGGCTGTCTTCAAGACCCCTAGTTGTCTTCAAGACCCCTGACTGTCTTCAAGACCCCTGGCTGTCTTCAAGACCCCTGGCTGTCTTCAAGACCCCTGGCTGCCTTCAAAGACCTCTGGCTGTCTTCAAGACCCCTGGCTGCCTTCAAAGACCTCTGGCTGTCTTCAAGACCCCTGGCTGCCTTCAAAGACCTCTGGCTGTCTTCTAGAAGTCGCTGGACAAGCACATAGAGTCAGTACCTGACCAGTCGGGCTGTGGTTCATACGTCGGTTAACGTGCAGCCAACAGTAACAGCCTGGTTGATCAGACCCTGGTCCACCACGAGGCCAGGTCATAGACCTCGGGGGCCTTGACCTCCGAAAATCTCTCCAGGTATACTCCAGGTATGGTGACTCAGTCCCGAGAACTCTGTGTGGTACTAATTTAGGGAGGTTTATGTAGACACGGGTACAAGTAAGTATAATTATCTTAGATAGAGTAAATTACCTAAGATAACCCCAAAAAGTCAGTTAGTGACTTATTTCCATGGAGGTACCTGCTATTTATTTCCATTGGGGTACTTGTACTTATTTCTACTGGGAGTCTTAGAGTTTTTTTAGGACTCTCTGCCACCATAAACCGATGAACACAAATTTAATATCGCTTTAGGACGCCAGATGTTGTTATCAATCCTTGGAAATAACATAAGAGATTGTGTACTGAATGGACTTTGAAGTTTGTACTTGTGTTCCCATGGAAGCTGACCTTGCTACACTTGTCACGTGACAACGCACAAATACGCCACAAGGGGCTGCATTCTTCGCAATATATACAGCATCTTGCACAAATAAACCATAAAAAAGTAATCAGTTCTTGACGTCAGAGAGCGAGTGTCCAGCCTGTGACCATTCTTTTAGGAGTCCTTTCTTTGTTTACATTCTAATTCCCGCCACTTTCTGGCGCTCCCGCCCTTTCTCTCCGCCAATCATGAGGCTTCCCGCCACCAAATATTCGACCGTAGCCAATCACTGGGCTTCCCGCCACCAGCAGTTTCTTGCCACTCCACGAGGCCATCATCCTGACATCTTGTGCTCCCACAGGGACTCTCACGCCTCCCACTGCTAAATAATGACAGTAATCTCTCCCATTACTCGAGGCACTTACAAACTTGGAAGGTAATATGTTCTAGTGGTATACAGATCGTGGCAATTATTGCATGTGTCAGAGAGTTTTTATTGATAGGAATGAGAGGGGAGTAGCAGGAGAAAAGAGGGAAAGAGGGAGATAGGAAAGGATCCAATAATCAGAGGAACAGGAACACTGGGAATATTGCTTTACACCTGCTGTCCCTGTTCACCTAGCAGTAAGTAGGTACCTGAATGTTAGTCGACTAGTGTGGGTCGCATCCTGAGGGTCATAAAGGACCTCCATGGAAATCAGCCAGTCTTATAAAAACGTAACTTCAGTGGGTTATCCTGGGTTACTAACCCACAGGCTTAACACAATCTTTATGAACAGAGAGGAAGGAAGGGAAATAAGTAACTGGCTTTTTTTTTCTCTTATCCCGGTGGGTAATTTACACTATATATAATAATTATACCTATACGTACCTGTGCCTAAATCAACTTACTAACAAAAGTTTGGCCCTGGCATATGGTTTGGCCCTGGAATATGGTTTGGCCCTGGCATATGGTTTGGCCCTGGCATATGGTTTGGCCCTGGAATATGGTTTGGCCCTGGCATATGGTTTGGCCCTGGCATATGGTTTGGCCCTGGCATATGGTTTGGCCCTGGAATATGGTTTGGCCCTGGCATATGGTTTGGCCCTGGCATATGGTTTGGCCCTGGAATATGGTTTGGCCCTGGCATATGGTTTGGCCCTGGCATATGGTTTGGCCCTGGCATATGGTTTGGCCCTGGAATATGGTTTGGCCCTGGCATATGGTTTGGCCCTGGCATATGGTTTGGCCCTGGAATATGGTTTGGCCCTGGCATATGGTTTGGCCCTGGCATATGGTTTGGCCCTGGCATATGGTTTGGCCCTGGCATATGGTTTGGCTCTGGTATATGGTTGCACTGGGGGTTTGAATCTCACTTGAAGGCTATGAGACATTAATTTGACGTCTCAACTGCCACGAAGAAGCTAGTTGTTGATGATTAGAATGCCAGTGATGGTGACTGAGGGAGTGACACCCACGTAGTGGACAAGAGCGTGACGCCCACGTGGTGGTTGACAGCGTGACGCCCACGTGGGAGTGGATATCTCA